GACGACGACTCCAACCCCGTCGAAATCACCGGCTTCCGCAACAGCTCCGCGTTATCGCTCCGAACCCCACCGCTTTCAGAACCGGTCTTCACCGCCGCGCAATGGCACAACCGCAAACGGGAGAAAGAGAGAGAAGACGGAGCTAGTAGTAGGTGATGATGAGAGATTGAACTAGGGTTAGGGTTTGAATTAGGGTTGTTTCTGCATAGGAAGTGAAAATTTGGGTGATTTGAAGTGCAAATTGAAGCCATTTGTTTTTCCTTGTATGAAATTTAAAAAAGGCCTTTTTGGAGTTTATTGTTTTACTTAAGTATTCAACATTTTAGCAACAGGTTAAAGAATTGGATATACTTCAGAAGTGGGTGAAAAGTCAGGGCGAAGGAGATTATCTTCTCGTGGCAAAGTATTGCGCAGAGCTCGAGTTGCTACTGCTTTACCATTCGCCGAAGAAGAAGATAAGTGTAAAACAGCAAGCTTACGGCTTTAGCGCTTTAATTGGGCGGGCCGTGTTCTGGATATTCGGATATCGGGTGTTAGAATCGGGTGGGTCTAAATTTTGTTTGGAACAAAATGTGACATGCCAAAATGAGTTTAAGACTTGTTGAGTGGATCCTAATTCGACTCGTATACTCAAAGCTACTTTTCAATTTGTTAGCTATGAGTACTCTTATCCAAATTTTGGGTTCTACAGTTGAGTTTGAAAAACCACTCCGTTATACGACATGGAAATATTCTTAGAAAAAAATACAGTAAGGTAAGATTAAACTTTATATTCAAAATAAATTGTTTATTATTTTTTTTTTGATAATTAAATGATTTTATTTACCAGTATCTGATAGAATGTATGAGTCCACCAAACTGTATAGAGACTCGGTCCTATACCAGTTCCCACAGAAATAGCTAATGAACCAGTAAGTAAATGACACGAGAGATTTTTACGTGGAAAATCCATGTTCAAGGGGATAAAAAACCATGACCTACACTGGTAGAATTTCAACTTCACTATTGAGCAATCTTTAGATTACAACCTATTGCAACCTAAAAATTAAACTCTTAATCCATCACTAACTTGCAATATACCTATTACAAGCCACTTTGCAATACACCTATTACAAAGATTTCAACTCATGACTAACTCTAGTCATGACACAAACACTAAGGGTTTATGGTTTTTCAAGGTTCCTAATTAAAGTTTCTAAATAAGCAAAGTAGGAATTACAATGAAGAACAAATACAAAGTTACAACTCAACTAAGGACATACAAAAGACTTGTTGTAGAAACTGGTCCGTAGTAGTGTTGTACTTTGTTCTTGATGCACTTGTGACTTCAATACTTGATTGTCAGATCTGGAGTACTTGAATCAATTCACAAAGTGTTCAAGTGATGTTTTATTGTAATGCTTCTTGTTAATATCCTTTGGATGACATCACTTGGATGATGTAAACACTAGGTTGGTAAAAAGCCCTTTCCAATGGGAAGTGACTGCTGCACTGTTTCTGTACTGTAGCATGTACAGTGCAAGCAGTCACTTTCCAGCTGTAGAGTTGACTTTGTACTACTGTCAGGGAAGCTCCAAGGGATCAGGTCCCTGAGTTGGTTCCTTTCTATCTGAAGTCATACAGCACACGTTAGCTTGAGTCCGTTGATAGAGATATATACCAAGTGTACATTAGGTCCTTTATCTAGTTCTTAACAATAAGTTTATTAGATCATCAAAACATAATTCTAAGATACTTTAAACCCGTCAATTTTCCCCTTTTTGATGATGACAAACTTTAAAAATTGACAACCATTTGCAGAGCACAATAAACCAGATAAAGTACTAGGAACTTCACAAGTTCCCCCTGACTCTATGCTTCCCCCTTACTCAGATCCCCCTGCTTCAATTTATCTTTCCCCTTTTGGCATCATTAAAAATATACAAGCAAGTAATCAACATAAAGAGGTCTAGCCCAGCTAACTCATGCCACATGTGTGCACACAACATGATAGAAAAGAGAAGCAGAAAAAGACAAGCATTTAACAATAAAAAAGAGTCTTCATTGAATTTAATAAAACATAAGCCTTTGCCATTACAGCAAAGGCAAGTTTGGACTGTTGAAAGCGGGAGCAGTACAGGTGAAATCCATCCACATCACAAAAAAGACAAAAATAACTACCATAAGTCATCAAAACAAAAGATAGAAACTTGACACTAGTCGCTGGAAGATTTTCTTAGGGGGCACTAGAGAAGGAAGGCTTGGAGGAGGCAAAAAGAGTGTTGAGAACAAGGTCAATCCGAGCATTTGCGGACATTTGCTCTGCGAGCAGTTTCTCTCTCAAGTTCTCCACCTGTTTTCCGAGCTCAGCATTTTCTTTAGACAGACGAGCAACTTCTTCACTTGATGAACTAGGGGGTCTTGGTGCTGCTATAGCCTGACTAAGCTGAGTCTCAAGAATGGTGTTCCTTGCCTTCAGCTTCCTGATCTCCTCTGTGGCACTATTCTGGGCGTTGATTAGTTGTGAGATCGTCAAAGTGCTTCCCATTCCTCCAACCTTTTCAATACATTCATATTACTCCAGTGTAGTTTTCGAGAAGGTTTGTTTCCTGGTCCCCATCTTGGGATTTCTTAAGGGTACATCAAAGAACTTGAAGACACGCGTGAGAAGAAAGCCATACGGAAGTCCATGGTTCCCATCTTTGAAAGCTGCCACTTTCTGTATATGTTCAATCATAATGGCAGGCGAGTTGATAGAACGGAACTCATCTAGTGCTTCCATTAAGTATAGATCAGACCTGGAAGTAATGGACCTTCTTTCAGCACGAGGGAGCAGAACCTTGTTAACCAACTCGAACAACAGTTGGTACACAGGAAGCAGAGCCTTCTTGTGTACCAGTTTCCCATGCTGGACAACTTTTTCTTTCACAATGACGCGCCTAAAATTAGATCCACAAGCACCTCTCACAGATGATAACACTTCAGATGGAACCTTGAGAATGTCCCCCAACACATTAGCGTCCAATACCATATCCACTCCATTCACTAAAACACAGACGTGGTCATCTTCAACAGTGAAGTGGTCGGCATAGAAGCTTTTGAACTTATCCTCATATACTTTGGCCACATCCTCTTTGAACAGATGGCCCCACTACTGAAATTCCACCATCTCAAGAATTTGTCTCATACCCGCCATTTTAGAAATCTCTGGATCAAAAGTGTGACCCCACAGTACATTTTGATGTCTCAACCTTTCTTACCCTAGTACACTTACACTTTTCACCTTTTTTACAGAACCGGGTTCCCCAACAGCTTCCAACTTCCTTTTGCCAGACCTGCCAATGGACTTGCCCTTTTCACTTGATTTTACCAGAATATCATCATCAGACATAGATTCTTCCTCCACAACTTGCTTAGACTTGACACTACCTTTCATAGACTTTTTACTTGGTTTTTCAACAACTTCATTTGAAGCACTCTCAACATATTGTTTCTTTTTCTGAGATCTCTCAACCATGGAACTTGGTTCCTCCTGAGCATCCTTATCCACCTCTACTACTGGAATATTTTTGTCACACACAATTTCCCCTTTCTTCATCAGCCTCTTCTTCTTCTTCTTGCTACTCCTTCTGTTTTTCTTCAGGGCAGACTCAAAAGCCTCCTTCTGTTGCAACCTTATGGTAGGTCGCTTAGAAGGGGGCTCAGGAGTGACCACGGGCTTTCTAATCTTGAAGCGAGTACTGAGAACCACATCATCCTGAGCATCCTCATCACTAGGTCTCCAACGGCTCAGCGTCAAAGTGAGGAGAATGAGCAGGGTCAAAGCTGACCTGGGAAGATGATTCTTGACATGTTTCCTCAGGGATAGGATCAGGTTCATCAACAGGGTTCCCAGTAGCTTCTTCAGGTGCAGGTGGTTCAAAGAGCACCATTGTTCCTTTTTCTCCTAAGAGCGGAGTCCCTTCCCCCTGAGACTCAGGCATGGTAGAAGGTCCTTCATCCACCAGTCCCTCAGCAGCAATGGCCAATATATTTTTAGTGGCCTCTTTTTCCTGAGACTCCATGGGAGAAATAGTGTCCAAGACTGGAGAACTTATGTACTGATCAATATCTTCCTCAAAACCCCCTTTTTCTTGTTGAGTTTCACCCTCTTTTTCATCTTTGTTCTGGTTTTTGAGAGTATCAGGCAACATAGAAGAAACGATGTTAACTTTTGAGGCTTCTGAGTCCTCAAAACTTAATGAAGGAATAGGGTCAGATGGAGTGGTGAGAGAGACAAGAGGTGAAAGGGAACCAGGTTTGGATATATCAGTGTCAGTAATGATGGAAGAGGGGATTTTTGGTGGTGTTTCGAAGGTGGCAGATGAGTCGAAGATGTTACCTTCCAAGGTGGGTAGGGTAGCTTACTCTTTAGCCATGGTAGATAGTTAGGTTGAAGATTCTGGAAGGATAGAGAAAGAGAGATGGATGATCGCTCAAGGTTAGGAATGAAGGGGTTTTAAGGAGGGAAAGGATAATTATGAGGGAAGAGAGAAACGGTTTCTGAAATGGCGGTAGGTTTGTGGGAAGATGCACCGTTACAGAGGGAAGTGAAAAGATTTGAAAGAAAAGACGTGATATACAAAGTCTGAAAAGGTGGATGACGTGGCAGTTAATTTTGTTTCTTTTGAGATACGCATGAGAAAAATACAAGACTACTAACCTGTGGTATAAGAACTAGGTTCCTGACCGGTCTTTTTAAAAGGATTTTCAACTCTCTTTTGCTGCTCATGCATTGTTCCTTCAGCTTCTATAATCATCATGCGTGTCTACCTGCAACGGTATAGAAGTGAGTTAAGCTTGGCCAAAAAACACTTTAGCTAGATTTACATGAATGTAATTTTCATAGCCATATGGAAGGAAATCAGGTTCTCAATTTAACTTGATTAACACCACTGCCATCTTGTTTCTCTCAAAATGTTCCCTGTTTAGAACTTTGGTGAAGATATCTGCAATTTGGTCTTCTATACTACAGAACTTCATGCAAATACGCCCCTTCTCCACGTTGTCTCTGATAAAATGATGTCTCACATGAATGTGCTTGGTTCTCTCGTGTTGGACAAGGTTCTTTGTCATGTTGAGTGCACTGGTATTTTCATATAACAGAGGTACACAGTCAGTGTATACCCCCCAAATCCTCCAATTGTTGTTTGATCCAGAAGAGCTGAGCACAACAGGACGTTGCAGCAACATATTATGCTTCAGTTGTTGAGAGAGCTACTGAATTTTCTTCCTTGTACCCCATGAAATCAGATAGGATCCTAGGAAATGAGCCATTCCAGATGTGCTCTTCCTGTCCACAAGGTAACCTGCATAGTCAGTGTCAGCATAACCAACAAGATTAAACTTGTCATCTGAAGGGTAATACAGAACCAGGTCCTGTGTTCCCTTAAGATATCTCATAATCATTTTAGCAGCTTTTAGATGATATTCCTTGGGATTTATTGAAACCTTGCACATAAACCTACACTGAATACAATATCTGGCTTGCTGGCAATAAGGTAGAGGAGTGATCCAATAATACCTCG